TCTAACAGGCAGGTAATAAAAATACTAAGTAATATAAAACCTGCATTAAATATCAGAAGAATCCTGAAGCTGACAGGGAAACTGGTTCTTCCTTTAGGAAAACACACATTAAGACAGAATGGCCTATTTTGTTTTTACAATTTAAAAATGATCAGGAAGAAGAATTAAGGATGGGACTTTAGAGATAACAAATGATGTTTTTGTTGTTTGATCACACAGAAGGAAGAAGGTGGTAGGGTTTGGAAGCAGATCACCGTAAAAATCTTAGATTTCATTATAAAATTTAAGGGAAGGTCATTTAAGGATATGACAGTCCTTAGCCCATTCAGCTAACTTTTCATTTCTTAAGATTTGTTAACATTTTTATTTCTTCCCTGTAACAGGATGACTCTACTTAACAACCTGGTAGTTTTGGATAGCAACCTGTAGCATTTTTTTAGCTGGGCAGCAATTACTTTAATTACTCCACACAAAAGTGAAATATTGTTAAAGAAAACGAAAGAAAAAACAAATTTAATTGGATGGAGATCACTACAGCCAAACTTATTTTTCATTAAAATTTTTTAGGTTTTTAAAAGTTAAATATTAAAGTATTTAAAATTGGACACAGAAATACAAGAAAACAGAATGTCTTGAAAATAAGTCTAATGCCATCATTGTTGTCCATTTAATTGTATGATGAACAAAGGCCACACCCGTGACATTATCAAGCAAGGTGGTTGGATGAGCTAAGGATCTCCATGAAGCACACACCATTTTGGGATCAACAAATCCACAGAAGAGCACCAAAAGACTTGTTTTCCATTTGTCGTCATTTTTTAAAAACTGGCCATTATACATAAGAGGAAAAATCTGCTCAAGTAAACAAATCCTTTCCTGTATCCTCCACAAAATTCTCTTTGCACAAATAATTTAACAGAGGAGCTTTTCAAAAGTTGTAGGCTGAAACTCTGAATAAATAAAAGACTAACAACAGTGTTACCAAAATATTCAAATATCTCTGCATAAATTCCAGTATTTCATATTCTAAAGACTGCTAATAATGAGCATTTTAAAAATAAACAGCCTTCATATATTGGAAGACATTTTAAACTTACACTTACTCACCAGTCATTCTATTAGCCTCTTGCAGTTACTAGCTTTTACTACTGTTGTTTATTACTTATTCAGAAAAACTCTAATTTGCCCCAAGGGAAAGCAGCTCTTTTTATACAGCTAAATGAAAAACTAAACTAAAAAGCTGTCCTTTGGAATTCAACACTTCGAATGCATCACGAGCAGCACTTTCGATGCCCTATTGCCATCCCTTGGGCTAAAGCACCCCAGTGTACAACAATCTCTCGCTCGTGCTCTCTGTCTGCAGGTGTGGCCAGAGCCCTGGTGAGGCACTAGAGAAGGGAAGTGGCAGTTTAAGAGCAACGTAAGAAACTGGTGCAGCAGCACCACCTGGTGGGTACTGAAGAGATGCAGCCCTTGCTGCTGCTTCAGGGACGAACCACTTGTCCACTCGGTTTTCAATCCCCAGCTGACCGAAAGTTCCAAGATCAGAATTTTCAACCAACAAGACGAGTACTGCATGCATGTTTCATAGGCTCTCTGGAGTACTGCTGGGCTCTACAATTTAATCATATGTCCCCTGTGATGCAGATAAGTAATGCCTTGCTTTAGAGCAGTATGCAGAGACGTGTGTGAATTCTCTACTGTTACATTTAAAGGAGAAACCGTGGAAAGGCACAGGCCATTTGTCATTGTCTGCTCACACTTCTCCAGCCACAGTCATTTTAAGCCTGAAGCACAAATAATGAATAATGATTTACTTCCTTTTATTCATTTCATAAATATTTACTCAGTGACTACTATGTGCACATACACATATATCACAGAATTTTAATCTTAGGTGAAACTCTATTAGTATTCAATTTGGTTGTTCAATTTCTACAAAAACAGGTAATGTTAAATTGCTAAATCAGACTATATGATTAGTAAGTACATAGTAGCTAATATTCACATGTTACCAGGCTTTATTGCTTTGCTGACGAAAAAGAAATTTCGATTTGAAAAAAGAAAAAAATTCCAGGATTGTGTTTCAAAACATTTAATAATTTCTGTTCTGTCAGTCTTGAATTCAGTTCTTCCAACCAAGATATTCTGTAAAAATGGCAAATATTGAAAATGTTCTCTTTCTGTCTATATCTTCGCTGTAGACCTATGGGTTCTTAAATGAGGGTGATTTTGCCTCCCAGGGGATGGCTGGCAATGCCTGTTTGGTGAAGGATGCTGGAATCCTATGATGCACATGACAGTCCTCCACAACAAAGAATTATCTGCTGTAAAATGTCAATAGTGCCAAGGCTGAGAGAACAAAAACTGTGTCTTACTCAAAAATGTACACTACATGGCAAGATAAGTGATAATTGTTTGGTGAAATAAATTGATTATGATATCTAAACAATTCTTATTATTTTCCAGTTGTATAAACAGGAAGGCAGAGTGGACAGTCGAGTTCAGAAAAGCAATGCCCACAGCTCCAGAAAAAATACTGAAACTGACACTAGCAGACACATATATATTTATGAAATAGGCAGAATAAAATAGCTTACCTGGACTTACTTTGGCCTGGATGAAATACCACACAAAACTACTCTGCTTTCCTGCTGGCCATAAACTTGTTAGATTACCATTTAAACTTCAGAGGAATGCCTATATCAGGAAAGTGTACCCTTAACAACATACAGGCAGAGCATCCTATTCCCTGGAAAGGTGTGCTTCATTCCCCACATAAGTAAACTGTATTATTCAAAGCCAGCCTCTCTGAGTCTTATCACCACGGAATGTCAGTGAAGACTGGGGCACAGACGACGGACTGCAGTGGACCCACAAGGATGATGATTCCTTCCTGAGGACTCTTGGTGAAAAAGAATCCAGACTTCTGGTCATTGCCCCTGTCATACAAACTGAGTAATTCTTCCCCCCAGCTGAAGTTGCTCCTCGTATTATTATCCCACTAAAGATAACGACTATAAGCATTTTGATGAGGATCATTCTAAGAAACTTTCCATAATTATAAAATTATATGAAAAATAATCTGGTCTATAGGCTGCTATTTTCATCCAAAAATATTTCACAGATCTCAGTTTGTATCTGTAACCACAGCTCTATGTTATCATTTGAATAGACTTTAGGTGATCCGACATTCAGTTAAGACATGCTCTTCTAAAGGTACCGATCACTTAAGGAAGGAAACGTTTCATGAGAAACCTGTGATACGCGCGATCAAGATGAAGCACAGCATTGTGAGGAAAGCGACAAGCTTCACCATTCTAGACATAACAGCCTGACTGTGGATGAAATAATCCTGCTGCCCTTCCCTGCTGTTCTCTCAAAAACCCTTTGGGACTGATGCAGGTAACGTTAGATCTTTAAGGAAGCATTTACAGACTACAGAAGCCAAGACACAGGCCCGTGGAGGCAGCCTCAAGAGCAGTGACTACTCCCTCTGAGGGTACTGCACTGGTAACAATACAGACACAAAGGTGATTTTAAAAGGTGGTGGTAGGATTTTGACAAATACATATTACTTTTATAATTAGAAAAAAAAATTGAAACGTTAACATTTGTTAATATTTGTCACACTAAACATTAAATTATTCAACATGTGGTAGTTCAACTGTTTTTTGGATATCATGTCTTATAGTCCTAATTCTTACAAACCTTTTGTTCGTTTTTTGGTGTCTTTTTTTTGGGGGGGGGGGGTAATCTGGGTATTAGATTTTAAGCTTTCCTATGGAAGTCCAGGAGCTGAAGAATTATACTGTCTTCTTACTTCTTCTGACAGTCACTGTGACCTCTAGAGGGTCATTTAAATGCCCCACTCATTTCCATCTTAGAATACAAAACTTTCAACTACACATGCTGAGCATCCTAGGCCCAACACTCACATCAGCCCACAGCAATCATCAGTTCCGTGAAAGGCCCACATATTTCCTAGTGAAGTGAAATTCTTGATGGAGGTATGATGGCAAATAACAGTGTTCACTTTCACTTCTCAGAAAACAAAATACAGGAGACTAGATTGTGAGTTCCTACAAGAGAGGCCCAGAGATGGCACACCCAGCTCCCCATTGGGGAAAAGAGCAGTGGGAAAACAAGCAACAGTCAAGAAGAAAGAGTCATAGTGATGGTGTCTGAAATGCTGCAAGTGGAAAAACCTTCAGTGGAAAACAACAAGGACTCAGGCAATTCTAGAGTTTTAGGTCCACCTGTAAGACGTGCTCCAATACATTAAGGTCATGCAGTTGTACTCTGGGGAATGTTCTAATTAGGTATATGCAATATAAGGGTCTAAACTAAAGATCTGTTGGCTCATAACTGAATAAAAGTACAAAGTTACTTCAATGTTAAAGACAATAAAGGCCTATATTTTCAATGAAAAATACTCTTAACAGAAACCAATGGGAAGATTTTTACACAGTTTCTGAACAAGCCAGAGAGTTTGGCCTATTAAGTGACTTGTACCTATTCAAGAGTGAGAAAATATTTTCGTAAAAATAAAAGCCTCTTTATTTCTCTGTGTGTCTCTTCTTGGAGAAGAGATAATGAAATTAGGTTAGATACATTTTGCTAGGTTAAGACCAACCAAAGAGAGTCAAGTGAGAAAAGTGAGAAAAATCTAAACAATTTAAATAGTTAGATGGCTCAGCTCCAATACTGACAAATCTTACCAGATAACCTATAGTTTGAAAGTTCACATTAATTCAGGAAATGTATTACTATCTTTTTCCTCATTTCAGACAGAATTTGAGGAAGGTTATAGGCAGACTTACAATATAACAGGAAAAGATTGTGTAAGAATAAATAAATTTAGGTTAAAGGAAAATAAGGGTAGAAAAGTAAAAGGAAGCTAGGAGAAAATATATCTTGGGAATGTGTGCATTAATGGAAAAATTCAAACTTGAAATTAACACTGATTTATGAGGTAAAAAAGAAGCTTTGCCACTCACCAATTTTAACCTCTGTAAAGGTATTCTGCCTACATCTATTTGTGTCCTTTCTGGGACATTAGTGAATCGAACTTCTGGGACCGCAACGGCGCACATGACATGGGCCCACCTACAGGAAAGGAGACATTAAACATAAACAAAAGTTCCCTAAACTTACATACTTCAACTTGGTGATGCCAGTTCTCACAGACGGAAAATACACGGATGAGCAAGAAAGCCAAAAGCCTAAATCCATCATGAACAGATTCTGAACTGTATACCTGCTGAATGATACCTGGACAGACTCAGTACCACCGCTGCCCAACAACATTGTGCCATGAAGAGCTGGTAAAGGCCCAGGACTCTATCCTATCAAAGTGCATATATTTTTCTACACTTGATCTGCAAAACACTGAAATGTAGGTTTCTTATTTCATGTGATGCTGGAATATGCATGTGCTTAATGTACTTAAGCTAATCAATATGGCAAGAGATTAGTTCAATTAATAAAAGGTATGAACTGAGTATAGCATATAACCTTTTTAAATAATACAAATGTCATGAAGCAAACTTGTTCAAGTAGCAAAAGTTCTCCAAAAGAATTAATGCTAATCTTTAATTATATTGTTTCTCGCTGCAATCTTACTATAATCAATGAGACCCAGAGACAAAGAGAAATGAAGTTTATCTTGTACCCTGGTTTCCTACTTTTTTCACTTTCTGCAAAATGACAACTTTCTCATTAATACTATTAAACGTCTCATAAATGTTATATCCCAAAATAAATGTAAAGAATCATGAGGCTTGAAGAGATCTTGAAAGAATTGTCAAATCCATCAACATATTTTTAAGCCAAAGCATATTTACTTCACTCAAACAGCATCGGACTCTATCCTGTCTTTCAAGACCACAGGAAGGGAAAACAAGTATCAACCCCACCAGGGCATTCTTCCACATTGAAATAAATACTATCATTCTATAGAAAACACTATTTCTTTTTGTTGTGGTCCAAGCACAGAAAGAAAACTTCTTATCACCTGTCTTTATACAGGAACCACCTAAACCATCTCACAGTATGGCATCCAGTGCAATATCCAAGAACTAGTGAAGACTTTTTAGTATAGTGCAAATCGTACCAACCAGGACTGTGAAAGAACATCATCTTTCAAAAATTAAGCAAACCCTACAGCTCCTTACAACAAATTTCATTAATGTAATAATGATAAATACCTTCACTCCTCCTTCCCAGCAATCAGAAACACGTGCACATGTAAAGAATTATGCTAACTCCACCATTACATTACACCAGGAGTCCTAACTCCAGTGCCCAGGGGGCCAGGCGGAATGTAAGCAAATACACATATACCAGGAAATCATGGTGAACTGAGGAGTACCTGCCCCACTGACACTGGGTTCTATCCCAACTTGTTATTACTGCCTTATAGGGATATACAATCATTTGCAATTAAAGATGAAAATCTGGATTTTTAATGTAAAAATCTCTCAATTTAAAAATTTTAGATGCAATTTATAAAATGGTGCATGGATCCTACAAAACATATCTTGGACCTGAATCTGGCCCTCAAGTGCCAGTCTGCAAAATCTGCCCAGGTTATTTTGACATGTCTCTATTCCAGCATACCCTGTAATAATATGCTTTGGCCGCATTTTCAATATTAAAACCTGGTCATGAAAAAAAAAAAAAATCTATGTAGAACAGTCATAAAAACTAGACTGCCTTCCTTTTACGATCACTTGTGACTCTCTTTCAAGACTCTCTTCATATTCTCCACCTGATCCCTTTAAATCTTAATATCAATGTTTTCTCCCAATCTTTTCTAATTTAGTACACTTATATTCTTGTTAATTTGCTAATGTAAAAAGCAAATGGTTTTGTTTTATTATCATTGTTATGACTGAATTATCTAAAGATCACAGTTTTGTTTGTTTGTTTGTTTGTTTTTTGAGATGGAATCTCGCTCTGTCACCCAGGCTGGAGTGTAGTGGCCCAATCTCGGCTCAGGGCAAGCTCCGCCTCCCGGGTTCACGCCATTCTCCCGCCTCAGCCTCCGGCCACCACGCCCAGCTGAAGGTATGCCCTGTTTTTAACAGACCAATAGCATTCATCATATTAAACACCAGGATTCTAATGGCACCTGGATGATATGGGCTACCTTCATTTTTAAAACTCTGTAAGTAAAAGAGGGGTTATTTTTCATGGCTTCAAATACAAAGAACAGAAGCGTAACTTGGACTACTCTTGCCCTGCCGAGATGACAGTGCTAACAGTAGAAGTCTCTGAAGCACAGAATTCCAACCTCAGATCTGAGTAGCAAAAGCTTTGAAACCACATGTAAAATGAGAGGTAAAGCGAACTGTCATCCAAAGGTTCTACAATGGAGAAAGAAAAACAATGAAATTCAACACAGTTAATGTATTACTTACTTATTGTTCTTCGTTTGCTTAAGAGCACCTCCTCTCAAATTGCAGAGACAGCATTCCTGGAGGGAAAAGAAAATACCACATGATGACCAGACCCACACAACAAAAGTCATTACCATTCATCTAAATATTCTCAGAAATCCTGATTTTTCATTCTGAAATTAAAACCATCAGGAATTACATGAAGGTCTATCTCTGAGAAGTTCAAAAAGAAAGACAGAGGAGGGGGGAATGGTAAAGGTATGCCCCTCAAATTTCGGGGTGTAAAATTCTCCCAGAGGGAACCATCATGAACCTGGTATCATTTTAAATTGACATTGTCATCAAAGGAAAGCTGTGACACAGAGAACCCAGCAGTCCAGAGAACCTAGTCCGCATACCTAGGTATGTGCAAGAATTCTAGAGCAGAGAATGCACACACACGGTGTAGCCTTGTGCTCTGGGAATTCACTCCGGGATACAGGGCAGCTAATGAATGCAGTGTGGGCAGGCTTTTTTCTAATACAAGAATAAGCAAGAGGCTATTTTTAAATGATACTCGTTTCACCAAAGTAACACTTGGGCCTCACTCTTTCTGTGGGCAAATAGTGTTAGAAAAAGTGTCCTGATCAACCCCAGCTATCCCGCGCAAGAAAAGAGCATCAAGAAACGTTTTGCTTTATCCTTCCCACATAAGCTTATCCTCTCAGCATTCTTATGTGTCTTAGCTTAGAATGTACTTTTCCACTCCAAGATGACTCCAAGCTACAAATACAGATCTTCCTAGTTATTTCTCACTACACTCTCATGAAAAAGACCAGGATAAGGAGGACCAGAGAGCAGTGCACTGCCCTCTCATGACCTAAATTGTTTTTACATTAAATACCAAAGTAAAATTTTTATTTATTTTTATTTTTTAAATTTAAAGGAGTTTAATTGAGCAATAAATGTGCGAATTGAGCAGCCTCCAGAATTATAGCAGATTCAGAGAGACTCCAGGGATACCTTGTGGTCAGAGAAAATGTATAGACAAAAAAAAAAAAAAAAAAAAAGAAGTGACATACAGAAATCGGCAGTGGAGTACAGAAACAGCTGAATAGGTTATGGGTTGGCGTTTGCCTTATTTGAACAGAGTCTGAACACTTAGCAGTCTATGAGTGGTTGAAGTATGGCTGCTGGGATTGGCCAAGACTCAGCTATTGTTTTTGTTTTGTTTTGTTTTGTTTTTTGTTTTTTTTGTTTGGTTTTTTTTACGAGTTGATGGCTGCAGCACACCAACATGGCACAAGTATACATATGTAACAAACCTGCATGTTATGCACATGTACCCTAGAACTCAAAGTATAATAATAAAAAAAAAAAAAAAAAAACAAAGTAAAATTTTTAATTTCAAGCTTGTCCTCACAATTTTCTGCATTAATACATTTTTTAAATCGGAAGAAGTTATTTGGGGTTTTTTCCTCCAAACTGCATATACAAAACCTCTTTACCCTGTCCACTAAAGTGATGTTCCTTAACAAATTTTGACAATTTTGCCTAGCTTTACGAGGAATCCACCTAACTGATCTACCATTAATGAGGTGTGAAACTTCATAGCTTATACTTTTCTGAGGAAAACGATACAAAAACAACTGGAAAGAATCATGTATCTATGTAACTTTTGTTAGGCAGTAATAAATGCAAACAACCAGAAATGTCCAACAGGCTTGTGTGTCTGAAAAGTCTCTGTACATCTATATGAAAATTCCTGGATTCAGAGTAGTAAAAGATACATTGTGTGTATTGATTTGAATCCACTATAAACCCAGCTCGAGGAAATAACAACTCAATGAAGAATTTTCTCTATCCATACCACAAAGCCATATCCTAGAGGTCCTTGGAATAACTGGTTTTGATGAATCATACCAAGAAAGCAAAATTTCACAGTCCAAATACTGAAAATGAGAACTCTGGTAGTTCATTTCATAAGCTCTCAATTTTAGGCATTTTTCCAGTAATTTAACACACTTTCTACAAACAAAGAGGGAGTGAGAAAGAAAATGAATGAATGAAAAAGGAAACAAAACTTGAGGTCAAGTGCTTTCCTTATATACATGAAGATGTTAGTTTCAAAGTGGGAACGCAGCAAAGAGTTGCGGACTGTGAAGCACTCAGGCTCTAAGAGAATTAGATGTCTGATTAATGAAACTAGTAGTGAGAAGAAGCCTAAAGGGACAAGTTAGGAAAGTTAAATACGGCGCAGCAGCATGGAAGCTGCTCAAAAGCACCTGATTAGGATCATTAACAGGTACACATGTTCTAGAGCACCAATCTAATAAGAGGAAAAAGTCCTCTAAAATACAACGTGTAGGCTCAAGATTTTAAATGGAGTTAAGATGCTCCACCATCACAAGAAGAAACTCATTCTTTCTAGCCTCCCCTCCAAGTCACAGAATCTAATAGACAATTCCAAGTCCTTGGTTCACCTGACCTCTTAGCACCATACAACACTGTTGATCCTTCCTGAAACATTTTCTCCCTGTGGTTTCCATGACCCTTACACTCCTCATTGTCCTCCTGTGCCTCTAGTTGACTCTCAGCTTCCTTTCACAGGCTTCTCTTTCACTATCCTCAAATGCTGGAATTTCTGTAATAGGCCCTATTACTTCTCTCTCCACACATGCCTGCTGAGCATCTGATCCACTACCCTGATTCGGATCACTCTCTATGGCCAATGGCTCACACCTTAATTCCCTGAGGTGTCTGGCTGACAGTGCCACAGGCATCTCAAACACACACGCAAAACTGAACTCTCTTCTTCTCAAGCCTGTACTCCCCCACTGTTTTCCATCAGTGGTGCCTACTATCCATTCTAGCTCATATTGGAAGACATATTTCTCCTCTCATCTTTTAGATCTAATCAACTGAGTTCTGTCAATCCCACCTCCAAATCCACCCTGTTCTCTCCATCATCACTGCCATTCACTGATAGCCCCAGTATCCTTCACGAGACCTAAACTATTGCAATAGCCACCCAGAGCTACTCTGAACCCCATGAGAGAAGGTTTTTAATGCTTCTCAGTATTTAAAATGGCCTCAGAGGGCTAGAATCATCAGGTCTTGGTCTTGGCCAGCTTCACTGTGTTTAGACACCTCAAGGACCTCCACGAGGTTCCTTCTGTACTAAACACTTCAGAGCCAGCCTGTGCCACTCATCAATAAACTAAGCACATTCTTGACATCTCAACCTAAATGTTACTCCCTCAAACAAGAATCCCCAATCCCTTGGCTCAGGTACTTCTATCTCAGGCATTCACACTGACACTTTCACTGATACTCCCCTTTTATTAGCTTTATTACTCTTGCAACTATTTGTTGCATGCTATCTGCTGTCGTCACTAAACTGTAAACTCACTGAGTGCTATGAGAATATCTGTCAAGTTAATTGCTCTTACTCTATTATGATATCCAATAGAGAGTATACCCTTAATATGAGTTTGTTAAATAAATAACAAAACATGGCAAAACAGGGTAGAGTGAAAATCTTGAAAGTTAACAAAGGATTAATAAAATGCAAAGACCATTTTCACATACTGGGACTTTCTAAGGAAAGTATGCTGCAGGCTTTAGTGAGTTGACAAAGTTATTTTTGCCATGATTTACTTGAGAAATCTTATTTCTTTGTAAAGAACAAAAATATTCATGACCAGGTACACTCGTAAGTTATTTATATGATATCACAGTTTCTGTTCTATTCTCCCAATTTTGAAAAAAAAAAAAAAAGTAGGAAACAATGAAAGTCATGTCAAGTTACATCATTTGTTTGACTCAATGTCCCTCAGAGGGTCAAACTAGTTGATCTGGTAAAAACATAAAGATGCCAACCTGCCCATTCATTAATTTGTAGTTTCATCATATACCTATGTTTAAAGCCCAGTAGAAAACATACCAGGTAAGACAATTTTTAACCTTTCTTTCCTTTTTTAAATAGTACTTTACTGTAAGACAATTTTTAACCTTTCTTTCCTTTTTAAATAGTACTTTACTGTCAGAGAACAGAATTGGTATCTCTAAAAATTAACAAGTTAACTCTCACTCAAAAAGCAGCCCGAGTTTTAAGAATCTCCAAAGCCTAACACTTGTAAAGGCACTACACAAAACAGAGTAATTGTACCTGTATCATTTTCCTTCAAATCTTTCAATGAAAGAAGTTAAGGAGAAGGTAGGAAAGTTCTAGAGTATCCATCAAGACACTGAGTCATTAAACTTGATATCAAGAATAAAAATTAGAAGAACACAGACATGTATTGAAAGCCTAATGCATTCCAGGTACCATGCCAAAAATTTCATATACTTCACCTCCCTTCTTTAACACAAATTTATTAGGTAATTCATTATTTCACTTAATAAAGAAACTCAGATTCAAAAGATTAAGCAGTATTCCTAAAATTATCCAACCCAAAGGTTATCAAACTTTTTCTGTAAATGACTAGGTATTTACTAGTTTAGACTTTGCACAACTATAGAGTAGTTGTAACCACTCGACTCTGCCACTGGAGGAAAATATTTAAACTACTGGTTGTGTCTATATGCCAACAACATTGTTAATTACAAAAATAGGCAGTGGGCTAGATCAGGACCATAGGTTAAAGCTTTCCAAGACATGATCCAATCAGCAAGGAGAACAATTGAGATTCAAACTCATGTCTGCCTAATCCAAATGTCCATGCACCTTTTCTCTAGCATCTTCTGCCCCAAAGTATAAGGCAAGGTATAAGGTATCAAAGCAGAGTGCAAAAATAAACAAGAAACAATGCCTGCCCTGTGAAGCTCACAACTGACAAGAAGAAAGTTCTTGTATGTACTTAAACAAAACATGAAGATGATACCGGCAGAGGCATTACCAAGTCTCCATGTGCTCATTTCCATAAATAATCAAGAACTTCTTTTCAAAACATAATCCCTGCAAAAGAACCCATATCGTAAAAAATTGTGTTCCCGGCAGCATATAACAATTTGTGTTCCTATTTGTTTCATTAATCTAACTAATAAAACATCTCATTGGTATAACATCATTAAATTTTCCCTACTTTATCCTTCC